ATCGTTTCGCCAGCTGGCAAGAGCTCAGAATAGATCACGCCTCGGATATCCCACCAAATGCACAGCAGTACCTTCATCAGATGCAATCCACCTTTCGACATCGGTTCCGCCCCTTCGTGTGCCTGTTTCCATGTTCTTTTGCGTTGAACATTGTTGTACAGGATCCATTTTTCACCACCAGCCACGAGCCGATCCAAAAAAGGTTCGTTTTTGATCCGTCGAAGCAAAGAAATTGCTGTTGACATACGGTCCACTTTGTTTTTTTTCACTCAACTGATGTGGCACCCATGTATCGAGCTTCAAAGTGTACCGAACCTTTTTTAAACGACGAAACGCAGTTGATTTGTTGACGTTCTATTCACTGGCAACCTCTTCCGTCGAAATACGTGAGTTATTCGCAACTAAAGTCCTTAGAACATCGTCATCAAGCTCAGAAGGACTTCCACTGCGAGGTTGACCTTCGAGGTTAAAATCTCCAGAACGAAATTTCGCGAACCATTTCTTTACTGTGCGGAGTGCTGGAGCACGGTCCAAATAAACTTCGCGAATATCTTTAGTTGCAGCGCCTACTGTTTTTCCTTTGCGGAATTCGTATAACATAATATGACGCATATGATCTTTTTCGTTGTCCATCTTCCATGCGTCTTTTCACTAAGCAACTCAAACCAAAGCTTGGCTCGGACTATAAATATTCGCGTCCAATATGTCGGTATGATATTGATATATTTGTGGCTGAGGGTTTCCTTTTAGTTTCGGTGGATTTTTACAGATTCGACCTTAGCAAGAAATTTAGGTGACTCGAGATTTCCCTTCATGCAATTTGTATATGAATATATGCCTCAATTGCGTATAATATTGAACTGGAATCGCAGGTGATAATATTACAATATTATTTCTGTAACTTTTTCTCAAACCGTCATTAAATCATCGGTACCGTGATATCGCACTCATCACTTTACGAACAAAATTCGTGAAATTTTTTGGTTACAATCGAGTGATTCTTTCCTTTAACTATCGAATATTTAATTATTTATTTTCATCATTAACAGCATAAATATTTTAATGACCCAATTTTTACAATTCTACGAAATTATTCCAAAATAAATCCATCATTTTAAATGTGACACATTCAATCCCCCAAAATCTTCCATGTTTCTTACTAACCCAAATAAGCGAATAAAAATGACCTTCAGCATTTTTTTACCACCAACTGCCTGCCATTGATTCCACGAAAAAGCAGCAACTTAATTTTTTTATCACACTTAATTTTGCATTTAATTAAGTTATTCCATTTTCTGACACAACACAACACTTGTGGACCAGACCAATTTCTCACACATCCATTTGCACATTTTCATTTTCATTTTCATTTTCATTTTCATTATGTTCAATATTATTGTTATATTCAATGCAATACATTTGTTCACACATACTCGTACATACATTTATACGTAGTATGTATGTAAATATATATATATATATATATACATGAATATTGGCGCGTAATTATGTCAGTGTGTGAGCGCGAAAGCGACCTCAATGCGATGGAAAATATAGTTCAAGTACGCAAAATTTCTACCAACGAGTTTATAATTAAATATTAACATCGCCACCGCATTGAAACGGGCTAAGAAGACGAAGTGAGATCGGCTAGAAGGGACCGACCGCTAAATTATATTATTGATCATACCAGTATGTGCCACAAGCGAAGAGGCTGTCAATTCGAGCGAACCACCGCCGCCACAACAACCGCATTCATTGCCAATGTGGCCAATGTGATTTTCAATGCACACACACATACATACACAGCCAGCACTTTCAGTTGCCCGCACCGTCCGCTGACGGCCTGTGAATTTTAGCCGCCTTAATGATGGGTTGGAAGATTTATTTGCTTGGACGTACGGAAATAAAAATGCCAATTTTCAAAGGCAATTAATGAAAATTCTTTAAGGAAAAAGTCAAATTATTAACTTTGAAAAAATAACAACAACAACAATTGCTGCACAAATAAGAAGAGTGCCAAGAAAAAAATATTTATTTGTACAACATCTGTTTCTCGTAAACCAGAATAATTGAGTATAAAAGAGTTTGCCTGGGCGCCATTTGATGCGTCGCAAGGAACAAAAACAAAAGACAAGTGTGGCACGGTGGGGAGGGTTAGAGACAATACCTAATTCAGTGCAAATTGTTGCCCAATTTTATGCGATATTTTTCCTTTACAAGAGGCTTCTAAAAGTACACGGTAGGCAGAGAAAAATCGTATGAAAACACGTAGGCAGTAAATCGACCTCCGAAGGGGATCGTGCACAGATTTTAAGATAGATTGGTGTCTTCAGGCACGCCGAATTCTTTCTTTCATAGCTATTCACAAAAACATTAATTATTCTATCAAAAAAATATACTCGTGTATAAAATAACAAATTGCCCGATTTTTCGCCCAAAATCTCACATCTGAACAAATCGGTTGCATGGGAGCTTTATGTTCTACTCCAACCAAATCGATCAATGTAAAATATGTGTGCAGTATACCAATCTCATGCCCTTAAATGATTGTTTTTAAACAAATTTATGAGTAAAAATCTTGAATCTTAAAATCGATCGTATATATGCTATATATGAAATATTTCTAGATCGTGAGGTACTAATTAGCGCACGAGCTCACCTCAACTCTCTGAACCGATCGGTGTGAATTTGATGGGATTATATACTCGTCTTCTGATACTTATAGTACATACCACGAACCAGAATAAATATACCATTTCCTTACATACATTAAGACCAGAAGCTTCGATATTCGCAATTTGGTTCACCATGAACTCATTCCGACAGGACAGACGGCCATTAAAGAATTTTAATTGATCGTTTTGAGGCATTTGCGTTGTAAATGGCTGAAATTGTGGGCCAACAATTTCCGGAAAGTTCCATGACGATAATGCGCCATTGACCGAGTTGTAGGAGGGAACGATTCTTAGACCTAAAACTCGCTCAATACCAACGATCAACCACCGCATTCACCGGATTTGGCCCCATGTGAATTTATTTGTTTCCAAAAATCATGCCACGGAGTGGGCACCCCTTTCGACTCAATTGAGTCCGTAAGAGAAAATTTGCAGATAGAACTGACTTCTACAGATTTTTAAGAGCTGCTGCAAATAAACTGGTTTGACAGATCGCGCTCATTGCTGGCATAGTAATTAAGGACAGTGCTACTAAACTTAACAAAAACAAAATAAGCTGAATAATGTTTAGCGCGGGCAGTTTAAATCACAATTTCTGGTCTTAATGTATATGAAAGATTGTAGCAGGACTAAAAATTAATATTCGCCATTCGAATTATTCGCGACTTTCCTTGATTTTTTCCAGTTTCTGTTTTATTCAGCTCCTTTCGGCGAAATATCTTCTTGGGATTTTCCGGCTGTGCTTAACTATTTTCCGCTGGTCCTTTGCTCGCACATATGTTTGACTCTGGCTTGCAGGAGACTATCCTGAACCTGTTTCCAACTTCCGTGAAACTGGTACTGTAATAAAGGTGATTTAAAGGGTCATGCACAGAGGGGTTAATGTCATACGGAGAACATACTATGTCTGCTAATAATATGGACATGTGGGAATTTCCCTTGATGCAATATTACTTTTGAATGTCAATATTTCATTTCACAGGTAGAAAGTTGAAAAAACTTTACTCCATGTAAATTGCGCTTGGCTCTGACTATAAATTTTCGCGTCCAATATATCGGTATTATATTGATATATTTGTGGCTGAGGGTTTCCTTTTAGTTTCGGTGGATTTTTGCAGATTTGACCCTAAAGTCTCCTAAATTGGAAATTTAAGCGACTCGAGATTTCTCTTCATGCAATTTTTCTCCAGCCGAAAACCGTTTACTGCCTTCTTTTCCCAAAATATACGAGTGTTTTGGCTCTTGAAATGTCGTCGAACAACCTAAAAAATAGATACACACTCTGTGTGTCCCAAGTTTTGGTAGTTTTTACCCCTTTTAATTTCTGCTAAATAAGTGAGCTATTCGTGGTTTCTGTGTCAGCTCAAACAAAGGGGGATTAAAGGTAGATATAAAATCCGCGTTATCAACTCACCGACACTGTGTATGTGTGTATCAGTGGTGCACTGAGGAGCACGCCAAGTGAAGCTCGAAATGCAATACTAAATATCTTGTCACTGGATTTGTTAGTATATTAGTCGGCAGCGATAACCGCAATTCATTAATGGGAGTCAAATCAGAGCGATGCGCTCTTCATACATTCACTGAAAATTACTACAGACCACAAATTCTCTGCAGGGTCCAGGAAATACCACAGACCGGGAGGTAGCCTAAAAATAAATACCAAACGATCAAGGCTAGAGTCGAGAGTCGACGATGGAGTTTTCTCAAGGAACTATAAGGCGGATGAACTTGCTAGGCAAGATGCGACTAAATAGATTCCTCTCAACAAAGAACTCATTCATACCAATGCCACTTGCAAGCTGCTTTTCAAGAAACTTATATATGAAGAAGTCGCGTCGAGGTGGAATGAAACTACAACTCGCCGCAAATATAGGTGTGACCTGGCCAAATTTGGTTAAGAAGATATCCCGAAGTATGTACTCCACAAAAGGAGACATGTGCAAAGTAACAAGAGTTCTTACAGGCTACTGTCTGATGTGTGCTGACTATGTGCTCGCCTTAAGAGATGATACAGGAGCGGCAAGGATGATGAGGAGGAGGAAGCGATCTCTCATGCGCCTGTCCTGCTTTAAGTAGTGCTTGGTTTCCGAACTTCGATACCCTACTGCTGGAAAATCCATTGAAGATAGACGAGAACTGATTGGAGGAACGAAATAGTTGGAAAACGAAGCTGGTCAAGTTTTTCTGACATTACAATGGGTCTTCTTCAGGCCTTAATGTGCTGGATGCAGAAATGAAATAATGAATTCTCCTCAGAATGATTTTAATCAAACAATGAACTTGCTCTGATAATTTATCCAAAACAAAAGGCAATTGCAATTACTACAAAATATGCTGCTTCAAGCATAAATTTATTTTCCCATACACAATCATACGCACTACAAACAATTTATATTTAAATATTACCACAACCCCAAACACCTACTAGATATACTCGTAAACACACAGACATAACAGAGAGTGGGACAAAATCATTTAACGTCAACTCCAGCACTCGAGTATGAGTCATTTGTTCTGCAACTCGCACATGATGCGCTGAATTTCATGCTCATCCCTGATGTCCACCTTCCCCGCGCCTACCTTACTTATGAATGCCTCCATAATGAAGGGCAACCGCTCTTTGGGGCATAGTTTGTGCCACAGTATGAGCACGCGCTCTTGCTGCCGCTTGGCGCTACGTTTATTTGGCTTTTTATCGCCCATATAGAAGCGTTTGAAATTCTCAAAGGGATCCTCGCAGAGTATGTCATTGGAGAGGGCCGCCCAGTAGAAGGGTAGCTTCTGCCATGACTTCAAATCCCACCAATTGGGAAATTTGCAACTGCTATTTGCACGAACATGCGAGTTTAAGGTTTCCCACAATTCATTTGCACGATCCTCAATGCACTGCAGTTCCAAGAGAGTGGCTGACGAGCACTTTTCCGCGATTTTCGACGACATTTGCTTGCTTACCGACTCACAGCTGCAATCTATGGCACTTCCAATCGAAGCGTCGTCATCAATCATACCGCATTGCAATTCGTTTTTCAATTGATTCAAAAAGCTATCACTCTCGGATATGTCGGCGTTTTGATACATTTGCATTTGATTTGATCTCCTGCAGCATTCCTGATTATCCTTCAGCTCATCATCCATATCCAATTGCTCTAGTTCCGCACAAAACGCTGCCAATTGCACTTCGCTGTCGTCCAAACAGACGTCGTCAACCTCGTCATCATTCTCGTCTTCTACGTCGCATTCCATCATTTCGTCGCCATTCAAAATTTGTGGGCGTGGCTCATAAACATTTGTAATGCAACGCTCCACGGACTCGCTGAAGTGCGGCGTAGAGATGCTCATACAGCAGAGATCACAATCGCTGCCCTTGCCGAAGATTCTTGTCACATCGAATTGCAGAAAATTCAAAATATGATCGATTATCACTTCCATTGTGAAACTAAAAATTTTCTATAATTTTTTGTATCGAGTTTACAATTGAAAATTCGCGACCTGCTGTTCGTGTTTTAATTAATTAATAATTACTTTAATTTCTACTTAATTAAATTTATATTTTTTATTTAGTTTATATTTCGTTTATTCAAAAAAAAATATATTTTTCAAATTAAAACTTTAAAAACATAGGAAAAAATATGATTGAAATGTCATAACAAGAAATTTTCGGCTTTGAGTAAGGCGAATTTATAAAAAGTGAAGTTGTCACATCATATGATTGCTTGTTCTTACTTCCATTTCAACAAATTACACAAACAAAATACATAGAATTCTTTTTAGTCTTTGTATTCGTGCTACCGGGTGTTAATTTGCCTTGGCTATGAGGCGAAAATTGTAAAACAGAGTGTACGGAATTTCAATATGGCAGGTTGTAATGAGAGCATGAGTATTTCGAGAATATCTTCAGAGGACGAGAGATTAGAGAGAGAAAAATAATCATGTGAGTATACAAATATTCCATCATTGACAATGATTCTCTTCCCGGAGCGAAGAATAGTTTTCCTGCTCATCTAAGAGAATTTCAAGTAAATCGAGCAATAAATAAGGTTTTTTTCGTGTAACCTTCACAGCAATCATAGAAACAAATTGACGAAATTTCAAATCGATTGGCTGGTAAGTTGTGGAGAGTTTTGGAGATTACTGGAGTTTTCCACACGGGCATTGTAATATTAATTGTTGTTGTTGTTGTTTTAGCCGCAATAATATTCACCAAAGTATATTTGGGGAATGTCTTACGACAAGCCTACCATACTGCAGGAAAAATCGTTAACCAATATATCGAGGAGTCAGTAGCGAAAGTCGTTCATCGCCAGCTGAGACAGATCTCGAATGTTCTAGACATGCATAAGTTCCGACAACCTCCCACCCATTCAGTAAAGCACACTAGTCAGCAAACTCAAGCTAGGTAAGACGTCAAGAAGCTGGAATTACACTAGCCTGTCAAACGGGTATCCATCCCCACTTGCGCTACGGCATCTGACAGCCCTCAACACAACGTAGTATTTCAGGCGACATTTGTAGCTCTGCAAGTACAGCAGACGCTGATTTTCGAGAGGTCAAAAGAAGAGCTTTGTATGATGAGGATTACGGTATCGTAATAAGGAAAAAGGGTATTGCTCTGAGATCTCAGAGTTAGCGCCGTGGTCCAGTGTACAGCGGTTTAAAAGAGTGCAATGACCACTGCCGCTAAACTACATTCAAATAGAAAGTGAATTGGCGAACTCGAATCCCTAATCGATGACCCTGAACAAGACATTTCATTACCCGACTATGATGAAGTCTGAATAAGAATTGTGCGCCGGAAGAACAACAAAGCGGAGGGGATGTCACACCAGTTGAACGTTGCATTCATCAGATCCAATGCAAAATGTTGTCGGACGAAAAGCATACACGGCGACTGGGGTTCAAGAATTTCATAATCCCCTGTGAGTTAGGGGCTCAAGAATTTACCCGCCATAAGGCATGTCTGTCGTAAGAGGCGACTAAAATCTAATAGTTCCCGCGGCAGTCGAATCTTTATAGCGCAACGATTCGCATTTTTATCCGGCTTGGACTATCACTCCCCGGAATATTTTTTCGATTAGAACAACAACACTGGAGCCTGAATATAGTCTGCCCAATCCATAGAAAGTAGGACTCCATAATCTGAGTGTTGTGTGAAGGTCTGAAGTCCGCCGTCAGACGACTTGATGTTTAACATACTCGATGCTTCGGAAAGCACTCGTATAAAAGAATATACAGACAAAACGTTGAAGAGATTAAGTGGAAATCCATTTGGGGCCTCTAATTACGGCTGAATGTCTAAGCGAAGAAAGGAATGTAGTAGGAAACAATGTAAAATAGATGCAGAATCTATCGCATGCTGGATAGATGTAGAGTTCTTCAAGCGGATTTTACTACAGTCCACCTAACATGCTGACAGTGTACTTTTCTAAGACTCCGATATAAATGCAATGAGGTCGGGCATTGGGCACTGATGCAAGACTTTTAGAGACGAGAAGAAACAGCAATTTTAGGGCACTTCCTTTGCCTGCCGAATCGTGCGAGAGTGACAATTTAGAATCTGAATGAAAAATAGCATTGTGCTGATGCCTAACCAAAACTTTATCCTGGTAAAAACTAACCTTTTTGCTTTCATGATGCGAAGCAGTTGCGGGAAGATGCTGACTAAAAACTATGCGCTGGAAGCTAGTATAAAGATATCTCAGAAATTAATACCCAATTTTGTAGAATTAAAAAGTTGAATTGAAAGAGCGAAAAATAAAGCTTTGCTGGAGAAGAAAGTGAAAAATGTGTGACCGTTTGATGTATAAGAACATAGATTGACATCTTCTTACTCTTATATGAAAACCCATTTTCATCGAGAGAGGAATTAACATGTCTCTCAATCTGAAAATACTTCCATTTGAAAAGCGTTTGCACCCTGTAAATGAGAGAGAGAGAGTCTGGCGGGGAGTTTCAAAACTCTCTAACTCTTCTCGCAACTGAAAAACCGAAGTCGGAAATTAACGTAACTCTTGTGGGCTCATCTCAACCTTTCATAAGAACACTTTTCAAGTTATACAAAACCGAATTGGAACAAACTAATTTTTCTTTTTTCTTTCCGTCTGGCTTGCAGTTTCGCTATAATTTTCCATAATCGCATTTCAAAGCGCTTAAAATGGAAATTTGCGGTTTAAACTAAAACTCATAAAGTTCAATTTGGTTCAGTTAAAATATACATACATACCTACATGGTATGTATGTGTGTTTCTTGTGAGGAAATGCATGTAAGTTTGCTTGTTCCCCTTTGACATTGATCGCACCGACGTGTGCATTTATGGCAAAAAGCTTTTTGTCTCAACAAAATCCATAAAAAAGACAAACGAATTTAACATTAGAGGCGCTTCCTAAAAGCAAAGAGTAACTGCTACGAGTAGACAGTAAAGCTATTGATGCGTAGCACATGTTATATGCCATGTAGATATCGTACATGTTGTTGTTGTGGTTGTATGCATGGTTATGTGAGAATCTTTACCAATTGGATGGTTTCCAAAATGAAACTTAAGTTTCTGGTCAAATGAATTTGGCAAGGTAACAGCCAAAAGTCACATATGCACTTTTCATATTACCAATATGAGACATTCAGACTTTAGTAGATATCCAAATATATACGTGTGTGTGTATGTTTGTTTTTATGCAGCACTTTGCTGAATATATTCAGGCGAACCCGGTAGAGCAGCACTGAGCTCTTGCTAAAATAGTTTTACTTAGCGGTATTTAAAGTCCATGGAACATCTGAGGCGTACATAAACTTTTCAAGACACACGATAACCCTCTACTTTTTCAAATTTTTTAATCACGATTACGGTTCCAATACAATGTCATTAGAGAAGAAGAGAAATACACCCAGGTGTGGAGCGTAAGCTTCTTGGATGAAGAGGTTCTAGTGATGGGAGTTGGCGTTTTTCACGCTTGTTTCGGAAGAGGTTATCGCTCGAAATGGTTAAACTTCCTCCCAAAATTAGGAAACGTGGCAGAAAGGGATACACAGCTGCCTTTTTTCAAGCACGGGTTTGGTCCCAATATTGAAGAGAGGGCTGCAGGTTGTCCATATCCAAGAGCATGAAAGACGTACCTCTCCAGGAGGTTGACTAATATATCGAAGAGTGGACAACACCACTGCTCTTGTGCTAGGAGATATCAGAAGGCAAGAATCGATATTCTGATTGGTCTCTGTTGGGTTAACTTCTATACCCTACTGAAAAATACTTACAAAGTTGCAATCTGAAAGTTAAAGCCGTTATTGTTGTAGAGCTCTCTAGCTAGTTTGATTACATTGAAAGTGAAAGTAACTTGGCGAACCCGAATCCCTGATCGATGCTTATGGAAAGGTCATTCAGTACCTGAAGTTGATGAAGTTCGAATAGCAATATACCGCCTGAAGAGCGTCAAAACAGCTGAAAGGAATGGTTTACCGGCTGAAAGCCGCAAGCTAATCACAGTACATGCCCCAGCTTCTTTGTAGAATATGAACGAACGACGATTTAAGCCCGAGATAATTCTGTCCAATTCTCAAAAACGAGGACCCTAAAATCTGCGCAAATTATAATGAGACGAGCTTCCTTTAATATCGAATATAAGGTCTTACTTTGAGTAATGTGTGTAAGTTTAAAGTCTACCCTCAAAGAATTAGATATTCAGCCTGCGCCAAATCTGGAAAAAAAAACTCCTTCAAAAGGATAGACACTCCGCTGAAAAGTTCAAGTGGAGAGGAACCTGCATTCACTTGAAGCCTACAAATTGAGTTAAAAGTCTAAGGGAATAAATATTGGTGAGCTGTTGCTAACCCGACAATGTGGAGATCTCGGATAGGAAATAATTTATGGAAATAACAGCTCGGTTTGCTTCCAATATTGTAGAATACTGAAGAGAGGCCAATAGATATTCCATATCCAAGAAAAAGAAAGACATTTTGGCGCCTGACGATTTGGGATACACAAGCTCTTGTCCTAGATGTATAACAGATGGAAACACTCAAAAGTAGTCCTGGAACAAGGAAAAGACAGTGTACGTGTCGTCCAAAGGTTAAACTTTCACACGCTATTAAATAGTATTAAGGGTAGGACGCTATTACTGTCTATATCCAATGAAGCGCAGACACCATGTTTGACTAGGTCCAGAGAAATGGATAAAAGTCGACATTCTGCAGATCATTATTTTATATCTCAGAACAATTTCTAACAAGACAACTCATCACTACTGATGTCAAATCATGATTTTCCTACTGTAATTTTAGACGGTTTCAGACTACGATTTTTGATCTTAAACTGAAGCGATAACCCCAATCGGCCGCATTCGTGAGATGTCTAAAAATTTATTGAGAGCTAAAAAACGGCATTTAATCAACTTTTGTTCTTTCTTAGAAGCTCATCACACCTCTGCTGCGTATGTACTTAAGTAGATATTTTTCCTACACGGTACATGCGTGCTTATGTATGAATCCACGCGACCGGCCCAATCACCAAATCCAGCTCAACGCATTTAGTTGCTGTGCCGCACTTACACCACCAAAAGCTGATTTTCGACAAATTTAAGGT